TACGCATAACTTTTACAACTGAAAAAGTTCATTTATTATTATGCAGATCGTATTAGGAAAATAGATTCATATATGAATTATTTGTACATATTTTTCTGTGACAATGTCGCAGTCGATTTTTTTCAGCCCCTGAAGACTGGAGACGCACGTATAGGTATTGAATTTTTTACCAATTAGATCTCCTAATAAATCGTCTGCACAAATTTCCTAGAGCTCTGTATACACTTCTTAGCTAAAGCAAGTGTAATAATACGTGCGTAAACCTGGAATGGAATCTTATAGAAAAATGCCTTTAAAACTTATGTACGCAAAAGGAAAATAATTTTCCACAAACTTTATGGTTAAAATACGACCAATTATCAATGCTATTATGTAAAAACGGAATGAATTATAGTCAATTATTACCACAAAATGAGAGTTCCATTATTTTCTTCCAAGACTATTAAAGCAGGCAAAAATATAGAGCCCTTCTCGTATGATTAATGGTTTTCTTTTACCCGTAAACGTGGACGAAAATTCCTAATTAGTTTCACCCTAGCGGTGGTGGTAAAAAATAAAAATTCTTTTAGCTCCAACTCACAATCTGGGTTATATAACCGTATCCTGTGCTGTGCGATGTGCGTGCGTTCGACCGCTCGATATTACACGAGCGACGGATTTGAGTGCGAGCTGTATTTTTTAATGTATTTGAGTGCTATCACCATAAATGTGACAGTCCACTGTTATATTATAGGCTTCCTTTTCATTTACAACAGTAGTTCATATATTTTATGTAATTATAAAATTATCGAAACAACAACATAATTATTACTCATAAACATGCCTAAGTTCACTAGAAGCAATTTATTTTTGTCGTCAAAGTCACCTTCACTCAAGATAATAAGTACCTCCTTACTTCTAATTTACGACGATAACGCAAACAAATAGAAAATAATAGACATCTGTTTGAAATTACCATTCATTATTGACGCCAACTTATATTTGCAGCTGAATAAAACCAGAACTACAAAATGTCCATGCAAAATTAGCAAAGCATAGTCCACCATTAAAGACACTAGCGACATCTAGGCACCGCAGATTTAAGTTTGTCAAGCTGTGAGACGTTGTTGGTCATAATTCCACTTGTCATATTATTTTAAATCACTCTAATAAGAAGCTGTGGTTACAAAGATATTACATAACAGTTTGTTAAACATCTAATTTGTTACTGTAAATGATACCGCAAAGTCTATTCCTGTTTATAGCGGGTTGTTTGTTATTTTGTGACTAGTAAAGCTATGGCTGAACTGTTATATGAAAACTGCTGTATTATGTATGATGATGTATGTAGTAGTATTACACGTTTGGACATTATAACATTGTCTTGTCTCTATTTGCAAACAAGAGTGTTCGAATATTGATACGATTTTCTTTTAAGGATCTGTACATGAAAAGGGAAAGATGTATTCGATATTGGTAGTAAGTATACCTTACCTCGGTACATTATCTATAGAGGCGAATAATTTAGCATACCTACGAACTCTAATACTGGTGTCACGCTAAGAAAACAATAATAAATGTTTATCTATAAAGATGGCAACTTACAAAATTGTAGAAGTCACTATATGGTTTTGAAATTCGAGACCACTTCACCACAGACACAAAGGAAGATCATCTCTATAACAGTTTAGGAGCAATTTTCAATACATAAAATTGGTTTCTTAGCCCGGAATCCGTTGAAGAAAATGCTTGAAAATCTAGTTTTACCAAACCAGATTTAGTAAGACATATTTGTGGTAACCTGCTTATGAAAGTAGGTAACACTGCACGTACTATTTATGAAATGTAACTACAGAACTATCTATATAAATAAAAATAAATTTCCGTTCGTGAGTCCCTCTAAAACTCGAGAACAGCTGAACCGATTTGGCTAATTGTGGTCTTGAAATATGCTTAGAAGTCCAGGGAAGATTTAAACGGTGAGAACAATATTTTTAGGCGGTACAAAGTTTGCCGTCACCTAGTCAATCAATATTGTATTAGAACACAGTTTGATACTAAGCGAAATTCTTTCTCCATTTACTTCGCATTTACATTAAAAATTAACTCCCCTCTTGTTGTAACAATCTAGTCATTTAATATTCACGACTTTGTCTCATGAAGATAGACAGACACTACAAAACACTTTTTTTAAGGGGGGAAAATCATCAAATGAATTCTCTCGCCTGTGTGAGGCGGGAGGGAGAGTCAGACTCTTACTGACTAAAAACCACCCCGTTCCTAGTCTTGCCCTTCGAGCCGGAGCCCCGGCAACCCGTTAATTTCTCCGCGGCACTACAGAACACTACGCTGCACTTTTATTTCGGTACTTTTTATTATTTTTTTATGTTTTTCTACCTACCCTATTCTATGCCAATCTATAACTAAAGAAAAATACTTAAAAAACAATATTAAGGTTGCCACAATATTTATGTACCTAATTGTAGAATACTGAAAGCTTTACTTTCATATACACAAAATTACCTCATAAAAATAAAAATTCTCTATAGTGGTATATACAAAATGGTGCACTCTTTTCATTCGTGCGGCTAATATGTCGTTATTTCAAATGTAATCTAAGCGATTGTGAGCCGAGATTGCAGGATTGGTAGTTTGCGTGTAAAGAACTGACCCGTACCTACGTACTAACGTCCCTACGTACTTTTATATATATTTACGTGTGCTATACCTACGGCCATATAATTAATTCCCTTTTTTATTGTAATTCGTGATTCTCGAATCTTGACCCTTATCGGTAATTTTGTGTGGAGTTTTTGACGCTTTTTATTGGTGTAGGTAATCGAAAATTTGAGTTTATTATGAGGGTACAAAATTGGTTTGCATTGTAATTATATTTTGACTATAATAATAAATCTATTACGCTTGTTATTCCTCGACAGAGCTAAGCAAAACTTATGCGTGTTCTGCGCATAGAGAGTGCATTCATTCACTGATGACATATGTATGTCCCACTATAACTATACAATCGATTCACTTGTCACATACCGAGCAAAATTACATGTAACGCTATACTGTCTACAATTTTAAATAAATAAAATACAAATAAATATTAGACGAACATGCCGAATCGGCACCAATGCTCGCGTTGTGTTTCGTCGTGTGAGTAATTACCCCCCCCCCCTAATTTCATCAATCTCTGAGTCCCCACTAATCCTCAGATTCCTACGCACTTGTATCCACAATAGACGACGCCGATTGCTTACCATCAAGTGATCTGTCTGCTTGTTTACCGGCTTATTCCATAAAAAAATGAACATATTGTACGGTCGAGTTAAAGTTAAATTGACATGGTTTAGATTGACTCGAACTTTGTAGTCATCAGTCAGCAATCATTGTAGTTATATAACCAAGTTAGATACCTACATAGTCGAACAACAGCTTTATAATCACCTAGCTAATTGCGTTTGACTTTGTCAAATTGCATAGCAGAACAGAATTGACTGCAATTAGTCACTCTTTACTATACATAGTTGCATGCAGGGCCAGTGTTTGCATAGCAAATTATGTCAGTCACTATCTCTGATTGATCTTTTAGTGAGGTCGTACATTTTTTTTATGGAATAGGAGGCTAACGAGTAGACGGATCACGTGATGATAAGCGATCAGCGCCGCCCAGACACCCGCAACACCAGAGGAGTCACAGGTGCGTTCCCGGCCTTTTAAAAAGGAATACGCTCTTTTCTTGAAGGTTTGAAGGTCGGTTCGGAAATACCGCCGACGACAGATCATTCCACAGTTTTGCTGTGCGAGGCAGAAAGCTACGTGAGAAGCGCACAATTGTAGCCTGCCAACCATCTATATGGTGGGGATGCTATGCTGTCGTGAGGGTCGATGGCGAAAAGATGCGGCAGGTATCAGCTCAAACAATTCCTCAGAGCACTCTCCGTGGTATAAGCGATAGAAAATGCACAACGAAGTTTAGCAAAGTATAAGTTTAGCATGGGTAATATATATATTCGGCATTTGTTGCCTGGCAAGAAGCAGATATGTTCATATTGTAGAGAGTACCTATGTAATTAACATTTATCGATATTTATGTATGTTAGGATCATTTATTGGGTGTTATTCACCCAGTGTACTTTTAAGTTCTCTGCTATGATAAAACATTTTGATATTCAGAACTCCATTATTATTTTGCTGGAACTGGGAATGGAATGATGAAGTCAACAGTCTGCAACTAAGTCACTTTTGTAACCATACACCGTCTAGGCAGTCTTTTAATATTTTTTTTTATATTTGATGGGCCGACGTTTGACCACTATCTCGCCTGGTGGTAAGCAATGATGCGGTCTACGATGGAGCACGTCGTCCCATAAGCAACCTATTCACTCGGGCCTTGAAGACTCCCAGGTTACCCTTGAGGAAATACAGACTCTGGCAAAGAATTCCACTCTTTAGCAGTACGCACAAGGAAGCTTGAATATTAATAATTTTAAGGTATGTTCTAGGTAATTTAGGAAATCAAACGGACAGATTAATTTATAATTTTTATTTTCATTTGTATGAATTGTATTGGCATTTTTACAAAATATAATGACCCCTTTATTTTAATGGAAGAATTAAAACAAGGCTTATATTAATTTGGCAAATCCAAATTCACCTCAGTAACAATTACACTATGTATAAAAACTCCAAGTAAATAATTATAATAAAAATATACATTTTTTACAAAAATGTAACATTACGTAAATACAGCTAGGAGACTATTGTATTCTTGTTATATAACAATACTTAACAGCGACTAATATTGCTAAATAATTAATTAGAAAATAATTATAAAGTCAAAATTCAGATATGCAAATTCTTTTAATAAAACGTATCTTTTTATTCAGATTATTTACAAAGATTTATTCAACTAAAATAATAATAGTATTAAATTATGATATGTACAAAATGTACAAGTGCTTAATTTATTTATTGTCAACAAAAATAAATGAACTCATTTAAAAAACCAAACGATTTTTTGTTGTATTTTATTTAAAAGTTTGTCCAAAAAATGTAATTTTATTAAAATCATTCATTTATTTTTGTTCACAAAATCCTATATAAATTTCTTTCATTATAATCGTTAGGGGGGTAACCTTTGCTGATGAATTTGGCTGACAAATGCATAGAAAGGTATTTTTGGGGTGATTCTCAAAAAATAACGTTTATAATGAAAGATGGTCTAGTCTAAACATAAGAATGATAATGAGTGAGACAAAAAATGTTCAGTACAAACTCAGATCTGTTAACACACATGACATAAAATATTTTATTGATGGTACGATGTATATTGCACGTTTGTAACGTCACTGTGCCCGGGTACATAATGAAACCTAGATAATTATACAATTATAATTATTCATAATTGTGTAGGCACGTCAATACAACTTCTTAAATAATTATGATGAATATTTTGTGAACACATTATTTTTTGTTGGTTTAACAATTATGTTTGTAATTTCAAATAATTTCTAGGTCGGAGTTTGAAGTATAGTGTAGGGCAAGTACTCCACGTAATATAAGCCTTATGTACAAAGCTATCTTTTTGGCTTTTCATGTCCTATTTATTCGGTGGAGAGAACCCTAACCAGAATATAACTTTTGCAAAAATTAAAATCTTAGTAGTTGGTGTTCATTCAATGGAACAATGAAATGAATTTGAGAACAATTTTAATTTTATTGCAAAAATTATTTTGAGTTTTTACTTTATTCATTTTTATTTTATCTACAGATGAACTTAGTCGGTGGGTCAGCAATTTTACGTATTTTTATTTACAAAGTGACCGTAAACCCACATTATGTTCTAATTACAATAAAAAAATATGTTTGGCATACATTTTGTGACTCGTCATACAACTACTTTGTACCTATTACCCCTCTGGCATGCCGATATGGCACATTCGCAGGCTTTTATAATTCAGGCACCAACAATCAAAAGGCACAATTGTACCACTGAACAGCAACTTACAACTTGTCTACACATTATAATATCAGTATGAATGTTATAATTATATTTACTAAATACATATTATATCTATATATGGACGGGATTGTATCAAATCGTACCTATTTTCAGGAGTTTCTAACATTCAAAATTTTGTTCTTTATTTTGTACATAAAATACAATACATAAGTGGTATAAAAATGTTTAAGATTCAATATTGTAATCTTAATATTATGGCACTCTATTTGCACACATACGTACACGTATTAGAGTCCGGATATATATAATATAACCAATAACACATATATATATATAAGTTCTTGCTCAGTCTTCGATCCAGAAAATCTCAATAGGCAATAAGATCACAGTAATATTTAAATATTGTATATTTGCAATTTTTTATGGTGCCATATTTTGCCATAGGCCATACTAGAGCTGTTTGCAACGGCTGGTATAAATCTGCGCAGGAGTTGCGAAACGGCGTTCACTTAAAAACTAACTATCGAAACAGTTTACATCAAAATCACGAACAAATACGGCATAACCTTAAAACATTTTTACCAACTTTTGAATTGAACCCTCCGCAACTCCTGCGCAACTCTAACCAACCGCAGTAACGGCCCGTCCTTTCAAACCTGTACCCCGAGCACTCTGTCCACAACAAACTCATACCTCACCTCATCAGTCTTTGTGTCGTCCTTTGCCTCTTGACCCTCGAGGTTCAAGCACGGGTTCTTGCACTCCACGACCTCCGGCGGGTCTTGTGTAGCTGGCTGGTCTCGTCGGAGCTCGTAAGATGTCTTAGAAGACCTACCGTCAGGAGTCCGCCGTTCTTCTAAATCTTCTTCCCAGTCGTCTTCTGATGGAATCTCGTCACCATCCTCGCCAGGTAGGAGGGGGATTGTTGTTTTGGTGCGAGTGAAGAATGCCATCTTTTCTCTGTGGAGGGAAGATACATGACCCATTATTACCTACTACTTTTATAACCGTACAACTAAAACAATAGAAGTAAAGTATGTATTTTTTTGCTAAGATAAAAAAAAACCTGTTGATGTATCAAGAAACTGCTGTTTAGTCACGAGTTATCCTCAAAGCAATGATAAGTATTTCCGCCTCTGGGAATAACCTCAAAATTCGACATTTCTCGTACGAAAAATACGACATATTTCGTACGAAAAATCAATAAATACTTCTCATAGTAAGTTCTACCATTTTTAGTCAACTATCTATAAACACCAAGACTCACTTGAAGGTGACAAGGTCAGGTTTCCGTCCGCCCTGCCTAGACTTCCTCAGACGGTAGATCTCCCGACATGTCCTACTGAGTAGCCGTGATGCTCTGTCTGCAGGTTGGTCTCCCGGACTGACCAGGCGACGTAAGGTTTCATCCTCAGCTACCCAGGCCGCCACGGCCGGGTCACCGCGGTTCCAAGCTTCTTCTAACCTGGAGCGAAAAGTGGTTGTTAATAATCGCTGATGTTTATGGCTTTTTAAGTAAAGTAAAAGTGACATATTATGTAAGAAAAAACTATTAGGAGTCAAACTGAGTAAGAGAAAAGAGTGGATTTGAACGATGTATATACTGTCTATAGGGAAAGCTCATAGTGCAAGACGCTACAGTTGTCATCATCCATAGAACTTCTTCTCCGTCTTCTCACATGTTGGAGTGGGAGAAAATTCTATATAATATGGTAAGTATTTAAGTCGTCATAAGTATTTACGTCGTGGTGGCCCGGAGGTTTAAGATGCCTGCTTTTCATGCATGAGGGTGCGGGTTCAAAACCTACCAACGGCAAGTACCAATGTAACTATTTCCGAGTTGCACTTTCTAAGATTATTCAGACACCACTGACAAACGGTGAAGGAAAACATCGTGAGGAAACCTGGACTTATAATTTCTATTTATAAGTTTGAAATCGCCAACCCGCATTGAGCAAGCGTGGTGATTAATGCTCAAACCTTCTTGTGAGAAGAGGGCTTGCTCAACAGTGGGCAATTATAGGCTGTTGATGATGAAGTATTTAAGAAGTAAAGTGTTCGTACCTCTTTTTGAGCGCAGTAAGGTTGGCAATATCAGTGCGCAGATGGTGCAGCCGCGAGTGCTGCGCGCGCAGGTCCAGCGCCAGGTCCAGCGACGTGCGCGCCGCGCCCGGCCCCGCGCGCGCCCCGCGCCCGCCGCGCACGCCGCGCGGACACGACCCTGACCTACCCCATCTGGAAATATCAGAGAAATATAAACTGTTAAACTCATGTAAAATTGCACTAAATTCTGCGTGAATGCTAGTGGAAAAAATACTTTTTTTTTCAAAATAATTTAGGAAACAGTTATATGCATAGCTGAATCAAACTAGGCAGCTTATACTCATTTAATATCTTGAATTATTAAATAACACTTTCCGCGAGCAAAGACATAGATGAGACATAAAAACTGATATACTTTTATGTGACTGTCTTGAACTAGACGTGAACTTTGCTTCTACTGACGGAAAATATCTTTGTAATAATATTACATACGTATAAAATTGTGTTTACCTGAGCGATCGTCTCTCCCTAACACTCCTGTCGAAGGGTATCCCGGCGGGGGGCGGCGCGTGACTCGTCGCACGGCGCGCGTACGCGGCCATCGACGAGTCGGACTCCGAACGATTCAGTCTGAGGATAAAGAACAATTTTTAGTGATTTCTAAATATAAATTACTAGCTTCCTACTACCCGCGGCTTTGCTCGCGTCACATAAGGATAAAAAGAAGCATATGTGACATATACCAATACACACAGCGCCCTCTATACCAATACTTTTGTTTGCCCTCGGGAATATTAAATTTTTTCGGGATAAAAAGTCCCCTATTATTTAATCCTGACTTCTAACTTTACGTGTGCAAAAATTCAAAGCAATCGGTTTAGTAGTTACGGCGTGAAACCGTATTAAACAAACAAACAAACAAACAAACTCACTTTCCAAATTATAATATGTATTAGAAAGGATTAATCTGTCTATGATAATAAAATGTCATAACATTATACATTGAAATGAAGAATAAAAGATTATGAATTAAGATCAAAAGGTAATTTAGGACCTGTATTTTAATGCAATCTTAACTGTAGATACATATAAAAACTATCTAATGTCAAGACATATTTAAAAATGGGCAATATTTCCACAAAATATAAGGGTTAAGTTAATTTTTAAAGCACGGAGTCTGGAATTGTGCCCGGTATATGGCAATAGGCTCACCCCCTATTACATGGGACTCATAACATAAATAGTGAAAAGTGGGTGTTACATTGTACAATGGCACAATGTGCACCTCTGCCTATCCCTTCGGGGATAAAAGGCGTGATGTTATGTAGTAAACAGTATATTTAGCAACTGACCTGCAGATGTACTGTGCTTTGGCGACACTCTGTGGTTGTGGCGAGAACGTTTGTGACCTCTTGATGGTGGCGAGGGGCTCGGCGAGGCTGGCGTTTACTTGCTGGCTTTTCCTACAAGAAAATAACAAATATTTGTAGAAAATATTTTACTTGAAATGTGTATTATTACGTGCAGAGCATTGTTTTATTCAAGAGTAGCTTACAAGCGTTAAATGCTTAGGTATTTTGAACCTTATATTATTGTACAGACGCCATCATATCAAATTATCGATTATAAACTTAATCCGTCTGTTATAAGGTCGAAATTCTATTAAAGAAAGCTTGTTTTGGATTACTTGGCTATATTTTAAGCTTAATTTCTCAATGTTAAGCCATTTTGAACTTTATTCAAATATGTTGTTACTATTTTACTTGAATAAAACAATGCTCATTAAAACATAAAAGATACATCCACATTGTGCCACATATCATGCTTTTCCATGCACATAACATTGTGTGTGTGTGTCTGTGTGTGTGTGTTTAAAAAACCAAATAAACATGCTAGGGTGATATACCCAATATACATAAATAAATAAATATATATTCCACACAAAAAACTTAAAATAAACACACATAAAAATAATTATAATGAGTTACAAAATAATTATTTCAAGCAACTGATCATAATTGAACTCACAATAATTATGTTTAGTTTAGAACTTAAATTAATTGAGTACATCACCCATTCTCTTGTTGTCTATAAAACACCCCAAAACTGTGTTGTTCGTTTAATATTGGTTTACTGTAACTTATAGTTACATATTTGAGTTAAACCGACTAGTTTGTTGCTGAAACTATGCCTTTTTAATTTAACTTATCATTCTTTCATAGTATGTATTTAATTTACGTCAAAATTAAGGTGTTGGCATCAAATGATAACACCTTCTTTTATAGAGACCTAGTTACGTTTTGAGTTCCATATAATTGGGGCGAGTGTAATGCCTTTTCTATATAATATATTATTAACAAACATAGGTATATAATCACCACAATCGTCTCACTGCAAGGCAAAATCCTCCCTATATTATAGTTTATCATTAAACTATATAAAAAATTCAAAAACAAAACCTTTGTTCGGAATCCTAAACTTTCTACTGCAAAATTATTCAATCTTTCGTGCTATCAACTCCGTTTAACCTTGAAACTAATCGGTACAACTCGAAATTTACCGCGCAAACCAATACTAAACTCGTGTTTCAAGACAAAACACATAGGAAAGGCGACACAATGTAAACATACCTATATATACAATTATGTACAAGTGTGTGTTTATGTTAATGCTCTAGCGGCGCGAGCTGGGGCCGGCCGTCCGCCGCGCGACGCTTCAATATATATCTGAGAGAAAAACGGAATCATGTAGCCCGACACCGACGTTAGTAAGCCTTGGGGACTATGTACAATGTTACTTAGATAAAATAGGATTCAAAAATGTACTTTGTCTTTGATATAACAATGTAACATTGACGACAATGTAATAATTGCAAATTTACAGCAGTAGTTTAGACAGTTATTTTAGAAAAATAACTATTTGCATCGTTTAGAAAAAAAATTGTGAACTATTGGGCAAAATGCAAACTTTAGTACATATTTTGAAATTAAAAACCCAACTGCACTTTGTCTGATCAAAAGATAAAATTCAAACTGGAATAGTCATTTTATTAAAACTACTTATATTTTATCCAAATATAACTACCATTTTATAAAAACTCTACCACCAATAAAGTTAATTTTCCTTCCACCTCTACCTAACAGCATACATCATTATTTACGAACACAGTTTTACTTAAATAACAATTTTGTTCACACCCGAAAGTGTTCAAGCTCGAAAACTTTCAAGCTAACCCGAAAGATTTCGAGTAGTCAAAATAAAAAATCCGAAATTATTATTTGAGTAATACTGTATAAAACAGTCCTAATTAAAAGCCTAATGGGCAAGTAGATTTTAATTCATTTTGTATAGTTTTGCTACATACCTCCTATGCAACTGCCTAGCTGCCTCGGGACAGAAGTTACACTCGGTGTTGGTTTCCTTCTCCGCCGTGGTGGGGTGAAGGTACTCCTCCTCTAAAGCAAGCTCCTCCTCAGGAATGTAATCCTCGAATGAATCCTCTTCCACTATCTGTAAGAACATATTTGGTCGGTAAACAATTATTATAATTATTCGTTGTAAACTAAAGTAGCTACAAAGAGATATAATTGCGAGGTCGACGTTAGCTTTTCAAAATCTATTATCGTTATATCGTTGGCCGAGTGGTCGCAAGTGCGACTGCCGGGCAGAGGGTCTCGGGTTCGATTCCCGGGTCGGGCAAAGTATTGCTGGGTTTTTAAAATCTCATTAGTAGCACGGAGTCTGGAATTGTGCCCGATATATAGCCATATGCTCACCCCATGGGACCTTATTACATGGGACTCGATAACATAAATAATGAAGTGTTACATTGTATAGTGGCATTAAGTTTTGTAATGTGCACCTCTGTTCTGCCTATAATAGGCGTGATGTTATGTATTATTCGAGTAGCAATTAACAGTCTTGCAATTCAAAAACCACAAAATAAATCAGAAAACAGGAAAGAGATCTTAGGTTGACGTATTGTTATAGATAGTTACCTGATTAAGTGGTTCTCTAGACTCTTCGTCCTCCGATGCTGAATTGTCCCCGCAGTCAACGTTACATTCTGCACCCGTCATACTTTCTGGTCCTGTAACACAAACCATATCTTATTAATTTCTGTTTCAATTATTCACATTGCATTTCTACATGAAGCTTAATGTAAATTATATTTTAAAATTCAATCAGAAGAATCGACTTCTGGAGTCCAAATTGTTTCGTACAACTAAAAAAAATCAATTTAGTCAAGCAAGAATAATTCTTCTCCATAAAGGTGCTCCCTCACCGGGAGCATTCACGTGTAATATTACATAGATTCGAATTTGAGCATTACATTACAATAATGCCTCCCTGACTAACGATCATTTGCGTGTAATGTAATATATAGATTCGACTTTGAGCATTTCATAGCAAGATGTCAAACGAAGCGGGCGGGAGGAGGGCTGGGAGGAGTGGAGCGCATTGATGTTACAAGTTGTATCAAGATATTACAAGGTGCGCATTGTAATGCTCGGTTCTCCTCCTTCATTGATGTAATGCTCAGATCTGTAACGTTACATTACACGCGAATGCTACCGGTGAGGGTACCGATCACTATCACTATAGAACGAGCAAAAATATCAGTAAAGGACATTGGCTTACAAATAATTTTTATAAGCTTTTCTAGCGTCTAACTGAGAAAATTACATTTAACTTTTAACTTTCGAATATTATAATATGAATTTCAACACACTATCCTTACCTCTATTCCTCGTCAAGGTGGATGTCTGCGATGAGATGACAGTAGACTCATCCGAGCTCTCATCCCGTCTCATACATCTGAAGCTGAGCACGTTGTACCATTTCTGTGACACCGTGTCTGGCTCAAAGTCTGCTAGACTCACTTGTGCACAGCCCTGTAGGGTAAAGGGTAAGATTAGCATACGTAGGGTAAGAGTAACATTATGTTATAGGGTAAAATGAACTCAGAAGTTAATCGCTCTCGCCCAGTGGGGTATTCACATGGCACTCAAGACTGAAAAGCCGAATACTCGAATTTGGCTAGTTTTCATCATTTGATTTTTTTGTTTAGCAAACAAGATTATATTTATGGACTAATGAATGCTATTACAGTGCATTAATAAATGTAAAAAAAATGTGCCGAATGGACTGGACTTGAAACATCGAATATAGAGAATTCCAAAATACTATATATGGATTGTTATAGGTGATGCACGTTTAGAAAAGATATTGATCATAAAAAATTATTTACTAAATTATATAACGGATATTCCATATATCATTAAATGTAGGCGCAAAACAGATTGTGATGGAAGGGAAGTAATGATAAAATGGGGTAATTTGAATTCAACGCGAAATAGATACGATGACAATTTCCCAACATCTATTCATGTCTTTTGTATGTATTCACCCAATTTAAAATACAATAGTGTGTGTATACTATCACACAGACGTCCGATCATTGAAATACTATTCTACTAATAATATGCTGTTGAATTTAAAGGTATATTTAAATATTGTTTTGTCGTGCATGAGAACGTGGCGTTTGAGTATTAAATCCAATCGGCTTTGTATGTGAAACTGGCTGTTGTCCGCGATTTCGTACTCGTAATCCTGTTTTTCCCGTTGCTTTCGTGATTTTCCGTAAAAAATAATAAAAAAGTTCGTCTCCTGGTTCTAAGAAACCTCCCGACCAATTATCACCCAAATCAATTTAGCCGTTGTTGAGTTATAAATAGTGTAGTTAACCGGAGTTTGTTGTATAGGCCACGCGGCCGTGCTCACCAGACACTCTGCGCCGGCGGTGAGGTTGACCTGCAGCGTGGCGGCCCGCAGCGCGCGCGCGGCCCGCAGCGGCACGCAGTGCGTGTGTCGCAGCGCCAGGGCCGCGCCGCGCCAGGCCGCGCCGCCGCCGCTCCACGCCGAGCCGCAGCCCCCGCCCACCACCAGCGCGCACCGCACGCCGCTGGACACAATATCTTTCTTTTATACACTACGTTATAACAAACACTTTTCTGAAAACCACATCAAAATCGGTTCTGCCAATCACAAGATAATCACGCACAGAGATACAAATACATAATTACTTAAAATAAAAACCTTTTGAAGTCGGTTGTAATCTTTATTATTATTCTTCTAGTCTATTCATTTTCATTTATTCGTTCATGTTATCAAATTCATCTCTCTAGCAATCATTGTGTTCTAAAGATACAAATGCTGACACATTTGTATTGAGTCTATATCAAAATTGAATTAAAGATTGTATATTGTGATCGACAAAGGTAGTCAAATTTAAACCGAATTAGCGAATAATTTATGGAATATTGATTTCCTGTATAATCCATATCTAGAACCTAGAATACAAATAAGCAAATCCACTTTATTCTTGTACTTTTACTAAAGTTATTATTACTAAAATTACTATTACTATTCAAAGTAATAAGAAAATAGGGTACTCACACTTGCGTGCCGATGTCAATATACAACGCGTGCAAGTTGCGCGCGCGCAGGATTCCAATCTCCAGCGTACCATTATCCGCACAGTAGCGTAGTTTAATCTCTATTTGAGCGCTGTTCACTGTAAATAATATCATCAATTTATTTAAAAACAATACAAAAATGACTTCAATTATTTGCCTACCAAATTAAAATAATTTCTTTAGGAAATAGGGGTTCCAAACCCCCAAAAAGCCGGCAATTTTAAGGGCGCCGATTGCTTACCATCAGGTGATATCCCATAAGAAATACCTGATAAAACATTTATGCTGTGATCAGTTGAAACTGAACCCAACGACACGTATAATAAGGTAGGTAATAAAATGTTACCTGCGTTAGAAGGATCGTTCGCCGCCTGCGCAGCCTCAAAGACCCCAGAGTCGCCCGCCACTGATTCGTCGCTCACTGCCGCTGATACTGATCTAGTGTTTGTACCTGGAAATAAAATTTGATATATTGTTAAAATATTGCTAAAGTTGTTGTATTGTTGTATTATATCCATCGTGTGCTAACCCAAATTGTCCCGTCCATAGGTAGTAAGAGCCGACTAAGGGACTATATTTAAAGAGACCAGGCCCCAACATCTTAAGCTACTAAAAAAAAGCCCTCTTCTCATACAGATGAGCAATTTTAGCGGCTCTCTGGTAAACTTTTTAAACTGCAATCTCTGATATATCCCCCCAAGGGTGGAAATTAGTGCAATTTCTTATATAGAGGAGGCTTTTTATTCTGCAGTGGACTTAGACAAGACCAAAGCTTATAGTCCAATAGTGAACTATAAGGGACTAATGATGATGACGATATTAAAACATTATAATACTAACCACTAGACGAGGGAGTTCTGGGCGATGGTGGCGGAGGTGTCTCTGATATGGGGGAGAGTGGCTCGCACGGCCGCCCTGGACCTTGCAGTTGTACTGGAACTGAACATAAAGAACTGTTTAATACATGCTCTGTCATTATTGTACATATAAATAAGATATTATACTTAACGAGTTTACGGCAGAATTAGTTTGACTGCATATTTTAATAAAAAAAGAATCAATCACAAATTCATTCAATTCATAAAAAACCAAGCAAAAAGAAAAGTAGGAAAAGAAAATAATAAAATAAAAATGTAATGTTACTTACTTGTAGCAAGACCTGTGACCTCATTTAGTCCAGTGGCGACACCTATCCTCATTTCTGCTAACTTCTCTTCTAGTTCTCGCTGTTGCCGCCTTTGTCTTTCCACCTATAAATATAAGAAAAAAACATTACGATTAATATTTTCACCAAGATACTTAGTCACTTTACAATCAATTGGCACCACTGTCGTTTTTGGTCCACTTACAGTACAAGAAAGAATGTTTGTTTAGACACCTACGATTATAATACTCCAAGCCTTTTATGAAAACTAACACATCGTTAAGTTATAGGTATAATAAATAAACATACATATACATATACGACAGATTACATAACATACATGAATCAGCTGACTGACTTTCATGACAATAAAATAGACACGAACATTATCTATGAAGTGAAAGCAAGAGACGGGCAGGCCCGGGGCGTATAATATGATTTAGCACTTGATAATATTATGAATAGTATTTTTTGTGCATTAAAACAAATATTGAAACTGTATTTGTATTGTTGTTGAATACAAATTGTGTTTTGATGTGTTGATTGATGTGTAATTTATGGGGTTAAGTTAGTAATAATTAGGTATGTTAGAGAGCTACACAACTTAAGCATTTATGCTGCTATGAATCACCTTAAATTAAATACAGTTACGTTTCAAGTTTCAGTCAGATTCGATTAAGAATTAAGAAGTCTGATTAGCGACTTACAAATAAACATAAATTATAATATGACAAATTTTAGTGTCGGCAGCCTCATATCATAATAGGGATGATGACAGGGTATGTAAATTAAAAATCTAATTAGTCCGTAAGTTAGGTAATGAAAATAGACAAGTATTTTTTTATTTTGTAGTATAATAAAACAATATTTAGATAAAACGAATCAAAGTTTAGGAGTGGGGGCTAAAACGTCATTTCTACGTATAAAATGTGTACATAGAAGTGACGTCACGCGACATTTCAAATCAATATATCGTCGAAAGTATTCGTTTCCGTAAGAAAATAAAAATACGTGTCTAATGATTTGAAAATATCTACCAGACGGACATTAAAATAAAAATGGAATCTACCCTATTATACCAGCCTGTAATTGTCGCACTATTGAACAAACTATTGGAGAATATTTGGACAAAGACCTACTAAGCTTGATTAACTCGTCGAGTACCGGTTTTGCAGACACAATTATAGAACAATAGGTTGCGGTCACCGGTGACCGCTTGGTATTTGACAGTTTAAGGCGGATTAGTGGTATAATCGATTACAATACAACATCCTATTGTTCGTCGTCTGATGTGATTAATGTCTACCACATTACCTAAAGCCTGAAGTTGATTTATCATGAAACATTTTTCAATGATTTCAATAAATACGTTCAACGTCACAGATTCATATAACATACGCAGACGCAGAAACCGTCACCACGCATTGGTCACAGTGCAGTGAAGTAATTGTAAAAATACTACAGCAACCGATATCGTGTGTACAATTGTGTGTAATGTGATCACACACGCTTTCCTATAAGGTTAGAGTAGAGAAAAAGGTTGTTTAGATGAGAAAAATCAATTTGTGACGTCTGAATTGATGTTAAAATGTTAAACTTTTGATATACGTAACACGTTTGGTATTCACCGAAGGAATAGGTAGCACATGCGTCAATATTTTCTAAATAAAATGAGGTTATTATTTGGTATTACCACATAAGAGAATTAATCTAAGATAAAGAACTGTCACACTAAACACTAACTAACTTAA